TATATATATATATATATATATATATATATATATATATATATATATATATATATATATATATATACATATATATATATATATAAGTAGTTCTGTGTTTCTCCTTTCATGTACCTTCTAGATGCATGAAGGCAGTATTATAGGTTACAGTTATTTGCCAGGTTTCAATGAAATATGAATAATTTTCAATTGGCTCTGCTGTATTACTGTAACCTAAGTTTTTACCGTGTATCACATTCAATGCGGCAGAATTGATTTATTTTGATATTGTATTGGTTTTTAGTGGTCGGATATTTTATTCAACAGTGTTTTGATATTGTATATTCATATGTATGTACGAGCTCGCGCGCATATGGGAATTGTAATATTTGTAAAAAAGCAGAAAGTACTAAAATAGAAAAGTAAAAGTATGTACAGTGAGGCAATCACTACCCACTTGTGTACCTTGTGTAAGTGTATTCGTTCAGACATCGACTATATTGTTGCTTTGCACGGCCACAGTCAATTCTTGATGTGCTTCCCGCATCGCACTCAACCGACTTTTCAGGGACGCGACCTCTCTCTGATCGCCTTCTGAAGCTCCCATCAATTTGATATAACCAGTACCAGCAGAAGAGCAGTGGTCCTCAATTCCTTTCCGGATCTCGTTTTTTACTTTTTTTATACATGATAGGCATTGTGACGATGTGGTAACGGCGCACATTGTTACGTAGTCCACTAGTCGCTTTCTCAGAACCTTAAAATATGCAAATATCTCAATCTGCAAGTCTACGATCCTCTGATCACTATTGGACATGCCTCGCACGTGCCGCATATACCTTTGAGTAAATACGGGCACTTCTCCGGCAAGTTCGGGGTCATCTATACAAATGTCTGGCGTCGACGTCTTCGTGCTGATTGTCGTCTCATCACTCATCAGTTGTTGACGCAAGCTCTGCACAGTGTCCATGAAGTAGTGGTTTCGAGTCATCATCTGTGTCTCGTACGCTAACAGTTCGTGTGCTTTCTCGCGTGCCGTACGCAGGTGATTAACCGAAATATTTGTTACTATAGTAGCAATCATGGCACATAAGCGTGGATACCGTGCATATGACGACTTAAATTCGCTCTGGAGTAGGTGAGCCACCGGCTTTGATACACCATCGAGATAGTCGTCAACGGTGTCTGCCAACAAAGTATTGAGTTTCTCCATGACTTGCAGTGCCACATGCGAAGATATAACACCTGGTAGACCTTCCAGGCCCTTGCGATTCTCCAGCTCGCCTTTGATGACCATATGCATGTTCTTCGTGAAAAACAGCTGGGCATGAAACCGATTGGTCAATGACGTTGCAATTGCAGTATCTTTTGTGTCCAGTGTAGAGCAAAGTAGAGTTGTTTTGTCAGCCTTGGCGAAGCTCATAAGGGTGTGCTCTACTTCTTTCACTGCACCTTCGCGAGTGTTTTTGTATCCGACGTATATTAGCTGCACGTCAAAAATGAACTTGCGATCTTCATTACAGATTGGCATGTTATCTTTTCCAATTTCACCGGTCGTTGTGAATTTGTGCTCGTATGCTGCAACAGGTAATTTCGTCCCATTCTCGTGGATTTCCTCAACAGCCCAGAGCAACTTGCACGCTTTTATATAGCCCGGAAGTGCACAATGCAAAATAAGTCTGAATGTCTGTTTCATCGTGCTATGTTTCTCAGCATATGCATATACCTCAATACTCGCTCCAAAAAAATTGGTATGACTTGTCGTGGTCTCCGGGGAAAGTTCCATGCTGTGCAATTGCTGGTTGTGGGGTTGTGTTTTAGTGGCATGCTTTATCGGATTTGGTACAGCCAAGACAAGCTCAAGATTTTGATTTATATCTAGCGCAGCTGGAGTTTTCAAATGACGAGATCGGCCGTGACCACTACACTGAAAAGCTAGCTCATCCAAAGTAGCATGAAGATTGGTCTCAAAGATGCGAATACATTCATATTCGCTCAGCAACATATCCCCGTATCTCGACACCTTGTCCTCAAGTTCTGAGATTTTATCAAGCACTTTCTTCGCCACTATTGGCAGGGTATCTTTAATATGCTTGTACTGATTGGCCACCAAGCGACTTGAAAGAGCTGCTGTGCCACATGCAGACCCAGGTAGAGTTTTCAAGTTGCATCTGAAAAATTCGGACTCCAGTACACGAGCACCAGCGATTGTCATGCGAGCGTCGTTTTCGGACTGGGAACGGTTGCGCACACAAAATCCATGTCGCCAAACGCGGTTTTTTTAATTTTGTCTGATAGCCCCCTTTATGCTGATCAACTTTAGATACGCACAGCAATGTCCGCTTTTCGCTTTCCTTCCGGATCCATCTCTCTACTCATCTGAATGGACTTACTGGTGCTAAAGTCCACCATACACGAAACGACATTCAGCAAGATACTTTCTTTTAATTACATGTATCTATCATATATCCGTGTGATAACGGCCTCGACATCCTTGCTTTGTCCATGCACAGGAACTCGTGTCATACCAAGAAGATCAATTAAAGTCAAATCATCAGCATCCCTTCGATAGACAGTGAGTTCAAGTACTGAATCTACAACATCCGATTCCCCAGCTATAGTGTTTGGGTGGTTTCGAACCCCAGCTGCAATTTCATCGATGAGTATGCGTTTCTCAGGAGAGTCCTGGTTTTTTATGGTCGCACACTCATCACGCTCGCATTTCGCACCCAGAGACCGAAGCCTTAATTCAAGAGGCAAACGGGTTTGTACACCTTCGCCTCTGGCTAATTCGACGCCAGCGAGTGCCTCGAATACCGATGCTTTGCCATGGCTCTGGTCGCCCACAGCCACGATTGATGTGACGTTGACATCAGTCTCGGCGACTGCAAACCGGCGTAGCTGGTCATTCAACTGCAAAAGTGGCCGAATATCGCACTTGTTTAACTCGGTGAAGGAGGTGGTCATTGGTATTTTATAAACAGATTCGATCAGCTGCCTATTCCTGACCACTGACCAGAGAGCGGTTAGATATGAGAGTTCAACCACCGGCGCTTCAACAATGTATAATTCTTATATGACGAAAGTTGGTTTTGTCTTCTTGATGTATTTCAGATAAAACGTGTGCACAACGTTCGAAGCTGTTGTTCATGATATAAAAAAGAACTAGCAAATATGAATTGAATTATTTATGTTTTATTAGTGATACTATCCCGCACGACTTGATGCACATATGTACGAAACATGATACTTGTCGGAATAGCAATTCTTTGTTCATATATCATGTTCACAGGATGTCTACAATCTGTTTGGTAAAGTTTGTGCCGTGCAAAATTTGAGACTATCTCCTCGAAATATAGATAAATTAGCTACAATATCATCAAGATTTCATAGCAGGAGGTAATACATATGCAGATTTTTACTATAAAAAATATAAATATTCTTTGTCGACTTCTGTGACTGCGACTGTGGTTCGGCGATTAGATTGGCATAAGAACGGGGCGCGGCATCAGCAAATCTGGACTTCTTTCAAAAAAAGTTCTTCATTCTCAGCAACCTGCTTCTTGTGCTCTGATTTTAATGATAATAAATATGCAAAGCCTGTCTCATTTTAAAAGGCAATGCAATATGCAATATACAATATGCAATACAACAGCCTCACTCTCTCTCTAGTTTAGCACCTCTCTCTCTCGCTATA